TCGCTTTAAGTTCCTGGTGAGGGCCATGAAAGCGTAGCTGGGACGTCGGATAGCTCAAAACCTGTGAGGCAAAAATTCCTCAAAGAGAGTGGGTGGAGGAGGAGCGGAGAGCTCTCTGTTTTGAAAACATCTCAGAAAAGTCTTGGAAGGAGATCATACGTTCCATTTGTGTCTTCCTCTCCAAAGAGGAAGACTTTAATCTGCATAAATTAAAACATAAATTGGATAAATTGGCTCCTTTCCTGACTGTTTCTTATTTGCAGGCTTCATGATGCCCATTGAAAGATGGAGCAGGTGGATATTGTTGTCTCAAGGCTTTGCTGAAGGTCATGGCAAGCAGGAACTGCTCTTCCTCAATACTTAGCCAAGCTGCATGTCACTTGCCATTTTTTGGCTCAGGTTGTGTGCTGTCGGCAGCTTGGTAAAGCGTGTAGTTGGAGTGCAGGGGCAAGCGAGGAGAAAGCTGAACCGTTGCATTTCACAACAAACAAGGTCTGGTGTTTCAAGAATGGGAGCAGGAATTGGATGTGAGTTCAGGGAGAACATGACAGGAGAGAAACCAGAACAGTAAAATCCCTTATCCTTTCAGTGCCTTGTTTTTCTCATGTGTATAGTATATATGCGTGTATGCGTCTTTGAAAGTAACACCAAGTCATCTGTAGCTTAATTGTGCTATGGAGTTCTTATTTTCATTACATGGATGTAGCTTTTCCTCCCATAGTTTCAGGCATAACTCAAGCTTCTTCGTGTGTTATCAACATATAGGACATAGAGAACTGCTGTTGCGTCACGCTGAGGTAAAAGTGTATGTTGTCCAAGGGTTACTGCACAGAAGTAAGACTCTCAGCTCCTGAACTTAATTTCCTGTTTTGAAATCAACTTTGGCATGCCACAGCTGGGGCCTGTTATTGTGAGAGCTGCTGAGCACTTGTGATTCCTGTTGAAGTCTGAGCGCTGCAGGTTATGGGCATTTCTGAAACTGCAAGCTCAGTCGCGTGAAGTTAGATTTTCCACAACAGCCACTTGAAATGAATGGTCATTAAAAATTCAGCCCGAAGCTTCTCATGTTTCTTTCTCAGTTTCTTCAACATGTTCAGTGATTATTGTCTTCTCCATAGGCATAATCGTCAGATAATTATTATTGAAATTTGAGATTCTATACAAAATAATGCCATTTCTTATGCCTGACAAATATCAAACAATAGCAATCTGGACATTCAGATAAAGAAATATAAAAACAACTATAGAACTAAAAAGTGTTGTAGAAGGTGAAATCTAGATAAATATAAATCGAAGGCTTGCCAACAGCATGGTACAGCCAGTGTTTAAAATGTTACCCTGAGATATAGGAGATTAGATCCAGTTCCCTCTGTAATGGACTTCTGAGTGATCTTAAGCAAACAATGTGATTGTTCTTTTTCCACTTGTAAAATGTAGATAATGCTCTTTCCTTGTAGCTCTGTTGTGAGCATAAGTACAAGCAAGATTGCAAAGTTCCCAGAATATGGCAGTATAAGAATCCCCTCGAATCGAGGTTGTTATATGTAGAGATTTGGCTATGTAGTAGCCCTCTGTCTCACACAATGCTTTCAATTCAAACTACTTTTCATCCGGTTTTGAGAGCTCCAACTTTATTACAGAGGGTTGGAATATACAAATCTGGGTTTTTCTGTATATTGAAGCCCACTAAGAAAGCAGTTTCCACAATAATATTGTCTTCTTTAATCTAGCAACATTATGCTATTTTTTATGCAATCATATTAGGTAAATAAGCTTACAAAGCTTTTGTGAAGAGCTATTTATACTACTTGATATTATTTTTAATTTCATTCTGATCTCATATGGTTTGGTGTTTCATGCTGGACCGCCAGATTTTCAAATTAGAGAAATTTCAAGTAGCATTTTCAGGAATATCTAGGGCACTTTGGAGTCCAGGTTCACGTATATACTCTTCTTAGCAACTAGGATATTTTTAAAGATGTTTTACTTTGTGGATAGCCTGCTGTTCACTGCAGCCCTCAGCCCTTCCCTCAGTTCACAGGCTATGGAAAACACAATCAGAAGGGAGCAGGAGCGCACGTGGCTTGGCCTGGTGTCCTCTGCCATTCCTGACGGATGTTCCCCTGTGCTGTACGTTACCTGCTGACATACTCGCTCTTATTAAAAGGACTTGCTGACTTGTGGTGCTGGCACTGACAGACAGGGTGACAGAAACAGTAGAGCCCTTGCTCAGCAGCAACCTCACACCAAAGGTGTGGTTGACAAGTCTGTACGAGGTAGATTATAGAACGCACAAAGAATGGTTTATCTGCGATGCTTTGAGAAGAATATTTTATAGGGTATTAATACACCAGCAGACTTGATTAATCAGTTCTCAGCCCTTATTTCTGTATAATCAGTCTTTGCACTTCCTTGTGACCATCTGCAATACCTATTACTTATTTGCATAAAGTATTTCTGGTCTGTAATAATTGTGCACTACAAATTGCACGCTAACCTGAGTATACCTCCATACCCTTCAACTTTAATAGAAAAAAGAAGCTACAGAATTTTCCTTGTTAAGCTCAACATTTTAGCACAAATTTCTTACGTTGTAAATTCTGGCAGAGCTATCGTATAGTTCACAGATTTACATTTCTAGAGCTGGAATTGCTGCTATAATGATCAGATGTCAGCACTGAATGTGGAAAACCCATCAACTTAACTGAGCTGCTTTGCAATATCATGGTATAAAATTGTTACTCATGCAAATTACAGTAAAAAATAAATTAAATTGGAACAACTTTGCAAGTATTTTGTTACTAATGCAAATTAATCCTTTGTTAGGATAACGGTAAATTATAAATTAAATTGGAATACCTTTGTAAGAAACATGGCTTTACCTGGATAATTTTGCTAAAGGAAAGCTGCTCAGTTGCAGATAGATGCCAGGTTGCAGCCAGAGCACGTTGGAGATTTCTCTGTACGTGAGCATTTTGAATAAAACGTGGGGTGACACAGAGGCGACCCACACTGCATTAGCAAACAAAAGCAGCCACTTCTGCATAGAAAAAATATCCATGGTGCTGTTCATATTGATGTACTGCTCACCTAAACTGCTCCGCTGCTTAAAATCCCCATATTCCCCACTGTATTGTTTGTTCCAGCAGTGCCCTCTGCTGCCTGCTAGCACTGAATGTCTGTCCAAACAGCTTTTTTTTCCCCAAGTCTCAAGTATTTTAAATCTAGTTCTCAAAAATCATTTACCTTTAAAAAGACAGAGAAAGAAAAGATATAATATTATGTTGTTTTATTAATGTACGAGTTACACATTAACTTCAAATAAGCAAACACAAAATATCCCGTAACAAAGGTGTGAGTATAGATGTCTGTCATTTTCCAGCTACATTCTCTCCAAGAATTAAGGTGGAAAAAATGGCATTTTCAGAACTGCTTAGGCATCTTAAGTCTCCAATCTACTAAAGGGTTAAGCCATTCTCCTGCATTTCCTTGTTTGAAGATTAAGTTAATTCAACAACTCATTAAATGCATCTCTTTTTTTTTTAGCTTGTAAAGCATCAGTACCTCTGATTTACACAAGAGAAAGAAAGGCCCAACAGCTCCAGCACAAGAAGGACATGGAGCTGTTGGAGCGGGTCCAGAGGAGGCCACAAAAATGATCCGAGGGCTGGAGCCCCTCTGCTCCGAGGCCAGGCTGGGGGAGTTGGGGTTGTTCAGCCTGGAGAAGATAAGGCTGCGAGGAGACCTTATTGCGGCCTTCCAGTGCTGAAAGGGGGCCTACAGGAAAGATGGGGGCAATCTTTTTAGCAAGGCCTGTTGTGACAGGACAAGGAGTAATGGTTTTAAACTAAAGAAGAATAGATTTAGACTGGATATAAGGAAGAAATTTTTTACAATGCAGGTGGTGAAGCACTGGCACAGGTTGCCCAGAGAGGCAGTGGAGGCCCCATCCCTAGAAACGTTCAAGGTCAGGTTGGACGGGGCTCTGAGCAACCGGATCTGGTTAAAGCTGTCCCTGCTCACTGCAGGGGGGTTGGGCTGGATGATCTCTAAAGGTCCCTTCCAACCCAAAGCATTCCATGATTCTATGAATTTCAGGTGTATTCTGACAACTTCTGAGTACTGCAGTACTTCATATGGAGATACTTCTGTGGGCCCAAGCACAAGAGCATCTGTGGAGACAAAGATTCTTACCTTTCTGGATGCCCTTTGAAGTGCTGCAGTTCATTGTACAGTTTTGCTTACAAGTTTGGGGTTCGTTCTGTAGATGTGACCCAGCCGTGCTTAGAAAAACAGCCACCGTTGGCTGCATCAATTTGTAATTGTAAGCAAGAGACAGTGAACAACTAGGTTGTGTTGTGTCTTGCTCAGTCTTGAGTGCTTTAGAAGTTTTGTGATGTCACTAGAGTTGATCTGAAATTAGGACTTACATCTGAAATTAGGACTAACATCCTCACTGACCTGGGGTCCAGGTTAGTGACACAATAGTGATGTTCTTCTTTGAGTCCCATCGGTCACATACTCCCCCCTCCAAAACCAAAAAATTCCTGCTCGCCATTTTCTGACTCTCTAATCCTTTATCCATCTAATTTATTTGTGAATTAAAGCTGAATTCGCATTCATTCCATTTTAGAAGACTTTTAAACCACTGATGTTATCATTCATCTTCACAAGAACTAGCCAGATTCTGCTCTTGATAAAGGTTGCTTTAAGCAAATCATCTGTATAGTATAGTAAATATGTTTTCCACTTTCGGCTATCCTAGCAACTTAAAGGTAATCAGCTATGTTCCGAGTTGGTAACCCAAATATTTAAAAACGCGAGTGGTTAAAGTTTAATCCACTGTCATGATGATGATGTGGCAATAGAAGCTGTGTGTCAGGATTCATTCTTCGCCTGGAGAACAAGGCGGCAGTAACGCTCATGTAGTATGGTCTCTTGCGGAATATGGGATGAGTAAAGCAGACCTCATTAACGGTTGAAAGTAGGATTTTTCCACCATGAATGGATACCCAAACTGCTCTGCTAACCACACTAAAATTTGGAGTCATTATTTAGTACTTGCACTGGGCATCCCTCAGCTGACCATTAACATAGCATCCGTGATCTTCAACTGCACAGTCATCTTCACCAGAATGGCGACAAAGGATCTGCACAAGCCTATCTCTATACTCTTCTGCAATTTGGCCTTTTCTGATCTCTTCACCAGCTTTTCTGGCTTTTGGATTTCAATGCTCTTCATCACCAATCCTGACATTACAATCTTTGGATCCAAGGATATGCTTGCACCTTATGCCTTATATACTATGTCTATTTTATCCACCATCTATAACTTGGTAAGCATTGGAGTTGAACGCTATCTGGCTGTGGCTGAAAGCATGAGGACAAGATTCAGGCTTGCTAGAAACCATTCCATAGCTGCAGTTTTAATTAACTGGGCCCTTGCTTTCTTTCTGGGCAGCCTGCCATTGATGGGGTGGAACTGCTTGCATATAGAGGAAAATCTCTCTGTCCTCTACAGTCCGTTTTGCGTCGACTACCTCATCTTCATCGCCATTCCCAATGTTGTGGTGGCTTTTATTATACCTCTGTTCACTTACCTTAGAATCATTATCATCTTGAGGAGAAGAAAGCTGAGAATGAAAGCATGTGGACAAGCTACTGGCACCTACAAATCAGCTGAAATCCAGGTTGCCAGAACCAGTATTTTTATTTGGCTCCTGGCGCTGATCTCCTACGCTCCGTTTTTTGCAGGAGTCATATTCGATGCAACGAACCATCAGTGCCCCATTGACCTCTACCCAGGCGTCTACATCTTTCGAAACTGCACGGCTATGCTGATAACCATGAACTGTTTGGGAAACCCCATAATATATACCCTGAAAATCAAAACTCTGGGGGCTAAACTCAAGGCTCTGAAATGCCTCTCCGCCAACCGTGTGCGAGCCTGCACCATTGAGAACGTCTAGCTGGGACTGCCCTCGGTCCGGGACTGCCCTCGGTCCAGGACTGCTGCCTTGCCTGACCTAGTCAACGTAGTCAGAGAGAAATCTGAAATGAAGCCGGGTTCCTGCCCGCTCCTGGCACCCAGGGCGGTTCAACACCCAGCGAGTACAGCTCCGGGGCACGGAAACCACCGCGGGGTGCGGAAACCAGTGCGGGCAGCCGCAGAAGCGGGGCTGGAGCTTTGTGGCTTCTCTCAGCAGCTTCCATAGCCTTGGGTAGTGAGCGAATCGGGTGCAGCGGTGCGGTGGTGTGCAGCTTTCCTTCGTGAAGCAGTCGGGTGCGTGTGCCTGGTTTGTTCAGCCTCTAAATGGAAACAGGAGAGGTGTTTTGCTCGTGGATAAAAATAACCCCATTAGCCGTGTTGACTTTGCGTTTGGAAATAGGCTTCTGTTGCACTCGCTTTGCTGCTGGGAGATCCACATCCTTTTTGTATTGCTTTTGTGTTTTTGAAGACAGTTAAATGGCTAGAAAATTTTCAGTAGTGTGGGGGAAATGTAATTTTACTTTCTCATTTACTGTCAGTCAAATTGTATCTTTGAATACCTGATGAATCTCTTTATTAATAGGGGCACTCAGCACTGTTTTGCCGTTGTAATTTTAACTGCAGTATGTAGTTGGATTACATGTTTCCGTGAGACATTTGTGACTACACTTTTCATGTTTCTGCTTATAAATAGAGGCACACTTGAGTCTGTGACTTTTGAAAATTGCACTTTTCTAGGAGAAAACCCTCGCTTGAATTCTTCAGTATCAGAACTGCAGTCAAGTTGCCTGTACAAAACAAAACAAAACAAAAATGTCAAGACCAAGTATTTTGTGAAAGGCAAATGTCTTACCCCCTTCCTCTCAAAAAAAAAAAAAAAATTGGCTGCTGACTAGTTAATCTGTGCGATCCTAGTAGAGATGAATGTTTATTCTTAGTTATACAGGGATACTGGCTGCAAACATCTCAATGCTTAAATTTCTTCTCTCTTGCACAGTTACCAATCTAGAGGCCTTGATCGAATAGATCCCGGTGATGTTAGCTCATCTTTCTGTTTTTAAAGTATGCTCAAATACTGTTCAATGGTACTACATCGATGCGATAATCCATGCTGTGATAATGTTCTCACATTCATGAAACGCACGTACAGCCCAACCAAAATCAGCCCTTCCAGTACAGGTTGGGGTTTTCAGGGATTTCTTTCCAGCTTGTTTGCTTCATTGTCCTTGTTTCAGCATTTCAAAAGGCTTGAGCGAACCAAGAACAAAATCCCATTAGTCTGTTCCTGAGCGGGTATGAGGAAAGAGCGTGTTTTGTGTAAGAAATGGGTTCACCTGCTAATGTAGGAAATGGGCAAGTGCCATTACATCAACAAATACGATACTTTGTGTTTTATTGCTATAAACCCCCTCTTCTGTGCTACTTTACACTGGAGAACTCTGGGAGACTTTTTGTCTGAATTAGAATTCAGACATTTAAGGAAATGGATGGCACTAAGTGATACATCATTGAAATGAATTATTTAAATGGATAATGTAACTCAGGCAAGAGAAATCTGGCTCCGTTTTTTTCTTCTGAACGCTACCGTTCTGCAAGCGTTTTCTGGTAACTCCACCACCGCCAGCCTCAAGAAGTGTTTGGCCAGAAACTCAACGCCTTGTCTCCTACTGAATGAATTTCAACCTAACCTTAGTAACAGGAGATTCAACCAAAACCTACCACGGGGCAGGTGGTAAAGATCAACCTGGGGGTGGTTTTATTACGTGAGGTTTCTCGTACGATACGACTTCTAGTCGTCTCCGTATCGACATCGGCAAGGCGGTTATGTTAACGACCAGCGCATTTAATGCACCGCTGTCTGTGGCGGTGGCCTTCCAAAAAGCGAGGGGGGAGCTGGAACCTGGCCAGAAACCCCTCAGGAGGGGAGAGAGAGAGAGAAAAAATATATATATTTAAAAGTATC